GTCTGCTTTGTTCACGGTAGTGCCCCCAGTGCCTAGAAGAAGTGCATGCCTAGTTGCAGATGTTCAATAAATTTTTGAATAAATGTACAGCTAAAAAATATTATTTCTACTGAGAGGAGAGGTATTCCCTCATAAAGGACTCAATCCTTCTAAGAAATACTGGTTGCTCTAAAGATCTACATTCTACTAAGGATTAAGAAAAGGGCTTACTAAAAAATAAAACTGAAACAGGGAGGATATTCCACAGGACTGTTTTTTATACAGAAGTATCCATGCAATCTCCACACAATCTCTTTTAACACCCTTAAGAGAAGGCCTTATAACAATAATTTTACATTAAAGAGTAAAGTTTATTTGGTCCTGAAGAAACTAAAAAAAGATACCAAGTAGCTTCTGAAGAGATCTGGCAGGCCTGACAATTTATACTTATGCACTGACTTTTAACAGTATCCGTTCCATTTCTGTTTGATACTCTTTTTTTTTTAAAGAGTTTTGTTGCTTTGAGGAGTCTTTAAATATTTTATTTATTTACTTTTAGAGAGAGGGGAAGGGAGTGAGAAAGACAGGAACAGAAACATGTGAGAGAAACATGGACAGGTTGCCTCTCACACGCACCCCAACTGGGGACCTGGCATATGCCCTGACTGGCAATTGTTCAGAGGCTGGTGCTGAATCCACTGAGCTACACCAACCATGGCCGTCTAGTTCTCTTAACGCTAGCCTAAACTTTTCAGATAAACTGATCCTACAGTGTTTTACCTAAAACAGAAAAATGGCTAATAAGTGAATTCTAACTCTAATTTCATCTTTATCTTTACACAGAAGAAAACATTTTAGTAGATCAAATAACCTAGACCAGTGACATTATTTTCCAAGAGCCTAAGGGAGCACCCTTTCCCTTTAATTAGTCAGCTTTTTGTGGTTGTTGTGCACACAGCCACTAGATTAGGGGATAATCTTCCCTAGATTGGCTTGACCCATTTAGATGATGGCTCCTTCCAGCAAATGTGCTTCACTAGTAATCAGCACTCAATATTATTTGTGGTACACTCTAATATCATCTGCAATTCTGGAATTTTTACAAAAAAAATCTTTTTTGCATTAAAAGAATTTGTAAGAAATGAGGCAGATCTACATGTACTAACATGGGTAAACCCCCTAACAAATGATAAGAGAAAAAAATAAAGTTTCAGAACTATATGTGCATATAAAATGCTACTGTATGTTAAAATATTATGTGCACTGTAGATAGGAAAAAGCCCAGAAGAATATGTATCAGTTTCACAACAGTGGCTACCACTAGGGAAGGAGGAGGGCCCCAGGCTTTCCTTTGGTGGGAACAGGCATTAAAAAGGCCTAAGCCTTATTTGTAATACTTGACATTTTTAAAAGGAGAATGTGTTTGCCCTGACTTGTGTAGCTCATTGGCTGGGGGTTGTCCTGCAAAGTAAAGGGTCCTGGGTTCAATTCCTGGTCAGGATACACACCTAGAGGTTGCAGGTTCAGTCTGTAGTCATGGAATGTATGAGAAGCAACTGATAGATGTTTCTTTCCCTTCCTTTCTCCTCTCTCTAAAAATAAATAAACTGACTTCCAGACAAGACGAAGGCGTGGGTGGAAACACTGTGCCTCCTCACACAACCGAAATTAAGAACAACAAAGATTTAGAAACAAAAACACAACCAGAACAGAGAAAATTGAACTGTACATAAGTCCAACAACCATTCAGCCAGGCCAGTAAGGGGCAGAGTCAGTGGCTGGCAGAGAGGGATCCTGGTGGCAGGAAAAGGCAGTGGCAGCCAGACCCAGGGGTGCAGGTGGCACGGGGCTGACCACAGTCACACATTTGCGCACAGATAAACTAGGCAAAAACGGGCAACAAGACAGACTGTGCAACCCAGGGCCCCAGCAACGGGAAATAAAGCCTAAAAGCACCCAATGAAAAGGTGCCGGCATGTAGGAAGTGGCAGAGGGGACCGAAATCCCAGAGAGAGCAGAGCAAGCGCCATTATTCCCTCTCTGACCCCACTCCCACATACAGAGTAACAACCCAGCTACTGGGTTGCCCCACCCCGGTGAACACCTAAGGGTCCACCACTCACTACATAACAGGCGTGACCAGACAAAAAAAAATGGCTCAAACAGAAGAACAAATCAAAGCCCCAGAGCCAGTACTTTTAAGTGACCAAGAGATAGCCAACCTATCAGATGCACAGTTCAAAACACTGGTGATGCCCTGGCTGGTGTAGCTCAGTGGATTGAGCGCGGGCCTGCGAATCACACGATCGCGGTTCGATTCCCAGTCAGGGCACATGCCTGGGTTGCAGGCCGGTTCCCTGCAGGCCAGTTCCCAGCAGGGGACGCACAAAAGGCAACCATACATTGATGTTTCTCTCCCTCTCTCCTTCCCCCACTTCCCCTCTAAAGATAAATAAATAATAAAATTTAAAAACAAAAACAAAAACAAAAACACTGGTGATCAGGATGCTCACAGAACTGGTTGACTTTGGTCGCAAATTAGATGAAAAAAATGAAGGCTAAACTAAGGGAAAAGAAGGAAAATACACAGGGAACCAACAGTGATGGGAAGAAAACTGGGACTCAAATCAATGGAGTGGACCAGAAAGAAGAAAGAAACAACCAAACAGAAAAGAATGAAGAAAACAATAAAAAAAAAAATGAGGAGAGGCTTAGGAACCTCCAGGACATCTTTAAACGTTCCAACATCTGAATTATAAGGGTACCAGAAGGGGAAGAGGAAGAGCAACAAGTGGAAAACTTATTTGAACAAATAATAAGAGCTTCCCTGATCTGGGAAAGGAAATAGACTTCCAGGAAGTCCAGGAAGCTCAGAGAGTCCCAAAGAATTTGGACCCAAGGAGGAACACACCAAGGCACATCATAATTACATTAGCCAAGATTAAAATGAAGGAGAGAATTCTAGAAGCAGCAAGAGATAAGGAGACAGTCACCTACAAAGGAGTTCCCATCAGACTGTCAGCTGATTTCTCAAAAGAGACCTTACAGGCAAGAAGGGGCTGGAAAGAGGTATTCCAAGTCATGAAATCCAAAGACCTACAACCAAGATTGTTCTATGTCCAGCAAAGTTTTCATTTAGAATGGAAGGGCAGATAAAATGCTTCTCAAAAAAAGTCAAGTTCAAGGAGTTCATCATAACAAAGCCCTTATTATATGAAATGTTAAAAGGACTTATCTAAGAAAAAGAAGATAAGAAATACGAACAGTGAAAGGACAGCAAACTCACAGTTATTAACAACCGCACCTAAAACAAAAGCAAAGTAAGCGGAAAGCTACATCAGGAGCAGAGCCATGGAAATGGATATCACATGGAAGGTTAGCAACAGGGGAGTGGGAGAAGGAGAAGGGGGGAGAAGGTACAGAAAATAAGTAGCATAGACAGTGGGGAGAAAATAGGGGGAGGGCAAGAGTAGTGTGGGAAATGTAAAAGCTAAAGAATTTATGACACATGGACATGAACTAAAGGGGGGAACATGGGTGGGAGGGGGTGTGGAGGGGAATGAAGCGGGGAGGGGGAATGGGACTACTGTAATGGCATAATCAATAAAATATATTTAAAAAAGAAAAAACAACATCATAAAAACACATTAAAAAACAAAACAAAACAAAAATCAACCCTGTCTGGTGTGGCTCAGTGGATTGAGCACCGGCCTACAAACCTAAAAGATCCCTGGTTCAATTCCCAGTCAGGGCACATGCCTGGGTTGTGGGCCAGGTCCCTGGTTGGAAGTATACAAGAGGCAACACATCAATGTTTCTCTCCCTGTTTTTCTCCCTCCCTTCCTTTCTCTCTAAAAAGAAATCAAATCTTAAAAAAGAAAACAGAAAGCATCAGAAAAAAAATAGTCTCATCTGTCCATCTATAAAACCGCCTGCTTTTGTCCCACTTTTTCCTCCTGCTTCGGGGATGAATGTCCCTTCTCTTAGCAGTATTTGACACTTTCCCTCATCATTAAAACCAATGAGTGGGGAACTTCCACACGTTTGTGATAATCCCACCACTGTAGCTGGTGGGATTCCTTCCTCTCTTTTGTCTCCCTTTTCTCTATCTGATTGTTTAATGAGGTTTTGTTGTTTTTTTTTAAAGACTTCTATACAAGGCCCCTTTTTTCTCTGCTCTCTCCCTTAGTGACTTTATCCATTCCCACAGTTTCAAAGGTGCTGAAAACTCTCAGATTGAAATCTCCAGCCACAGAACTACAGTTTCATAGGCTCAATTGCTTCCTACACAAACCTACTTGGTAGTTTCACAGACATTTCAAAGTTACCATGTTCAAAACAAACCCTGATTACTACCCAGCTTTGATACCCATTCCTCCCCACGTTGTCCCCAGTTCAGTAAATGGCTCTACCTTCCATTCAGCTGGTCAAACCAGAAACCTGGGGATGAGCATTCTTGATTACTTCTTCTTCCTTGGCCTTCACATTCATTCTTTAACAGTAAATCCTAACCATTCATAGAGAAATCTGTCCAGTTCTGCCACCTCCCCAGGTCTCTAGGTCCAGCCACCACCTATGGCTCCTGAATTACTACAACAGACTCCTAACCGGTCTCTTACTTCCGCTTTGCCAAACCTGCCAATCATTCTCCACAAAGCCATCAGAATCATTTTTTAAAAATGTGAAAGGGGCCTTGGCTTGTGTGGCTCGGTAGATTGAATGCTGACCTGTGAACTAAAGAGTCCCTGGTTCAATTCCCAGTCTAGGGCACATGCCTGGTTTTGGGCCAGGACCCCAGTAGGGGGTATGCAAGAGGCAACCACACATTGATGTTTCTCTTTCTCCCTCCTTTCCCCTCTCTAAAAATAAATAAATAAAATCTTTATTAAAAAGTGTGAATAGGGCCCTGGCTGGGTAGCTCTGTTAGAGCATCATCTGGATATGCCAATGTTGCTGGTTCCATTCCCAGTTGGGGCACATACAGGAATCAACCAATGAATGCATACAAGTGGAATAACAAACTGATGTTTCTTCCTCTCTCTAAAATCAATATTTTTTTCCTTTCTACCATCTTTCCATGCTGCCATAATGGTGTGTGTGAATGTCCTTCGCTGACGCTCTCAAGAATATCAACAAGGCTGAAAACAGAGGCAAATGCCGGGTTCTTATCAGGCCATGCTCCAAAGTCATCATCCAGTTTCTAACTGTGATGATGAAGCATCATTACATTGATGAATTTGAAATTATTGATAATCACAGAGCTGGGAAAATTACTGTGAACCTCACCAGCGGGGTGAACAAGTGTGGAGTAATCAGCCCCAGATTTGGTGTGCAACTCAAAGATCTAGAAAAATGGCAAAACAACCTGCTTCCATCCTATCAGTTTGGTTTCACTGTACTGACAACAGGTATCATGGACCACAAAGAAGCAAGATGAAAAACACACAGGAGGAAAGATCCTGGGACTGTTTTTCTACAGATGTAATACATATGTGCAAGTAAAATGCCTCAATGGACAAAAATAAAATAAAAATAAAAAATAAAATCAATACATTTAAAAACTTTAAAGAAAATGTAAATAGAAATGTGTCAGATCTCTTAAAAGTCTTCAAGGGCTTCCCAATGCTTCTATAGTAAATACTCAATTCCTTACCTAGGTCTATAAGGCCCTGAATGATTAGGCCCTATTTACCTCTCCAATCTCATCTCCTCCCCTCACCCATTCTTCCCCTTTTCCAGTTCTTAATCTCATAATGCTCTTCATCTTCCTATCTTAAGGCCTTTGCATATGCTTGTTCTCCCTGTTTGGAATGCTTTTCCCATAGCCACTCTTCAAATGGCAACTCTTTTTCATCTATCAAGCACAACTTAAATGTTCATTAATTCAAATAGGTTCCCTCCTACTTCTTTTTAAAATCATAGTAGCTTGTTCACTTCTTTCTCAGCATTTCCCATCTTGCAATCATTTGACTGTTAATTTTTTTGTCTAACCTCTCTACCACATTGGAAACTATGTCTACTTTATTCACCATTGAATAGTCAATGACTAGCATTTAATAAATGCTCAATATTTGTTGAAAAAGGGAAGGCCATCCCATCAGGAAAGTCAGTGAAATTTTAGTTGTGGATTAGAGAATATTGCTTTACCCATGTCATCATCAATCACATAAGGCCTATGAACAGGCATCTCTCCAAATGAGGCTAGATTCAAGGAACATGCTTTTTTTTTTTTTTAAAAAAAGGAACATGTTTTAGTGCCCATATGAACATAGTCATGAGGGTGTTGTGGGGTGAAGGGGAGAGGCTTTGGCAAAGGACTGACAGGGACCTACTGTGACAGTCGGTTCTCTAATCAATATGGTGGCTAGAGTATCTGAGTTTACTATATTTTACTAATGACAAAGCTGAACCAAATTAACCTTTAAAAACCAAGGTGGAAAACTAAGCCAGCTTGGTTCCTGAGCTCTTTTTTTTTTAGTGCTTCTTCCCCACCCCAGTGTCCTTGGGCTATCTATTATCAGGCAGTGAATGGCAGTGTATCGGGTTTGCTTTTGGATCCTTTGAGACTCTGCTTCCTATTTTTTTTTTTCTTAGTACAATCCTGTCCCTTTGAAACTAGCTCATTAGATAAATTAACCTTTCCTAAGGTAATAATTTGAATTTTAATGAGGCATTCTGGAAACATACTGCAACTATAGAACTGACAGACTCCTCTAGCACAGCAAGCCAAAGTAGAATTTAATCTTTGGGCAGGTGGTTCAAATGACCATTTCATTGGCAGTAGTTATTATTATTACTACTGATTTATACAAACTGATCCTTAGATATGACACACATTTTCTCATTTGGTTCTTATAACATCCTAGTGACACAAAAAAGAGAGACAGTTATTTTAGGCTTTTTTATAGATAAGGAAACATCTTGGTAGTCATAATCTAGGACTCCAAATTTCCTCCCCGTCACTTTGGCTCCTTTGTTGGCTGCTGAAACTCGTGCTGAGGGGAAGCTTTATCATGAATGAAACTAGTCTACAACTCTCACCCTGGTTCATGTTCAGGGTCCCAATCTGTTTTACTTTGGATAATCTCAAGTAGTTTAAGGGTGTTGGTGAAATGCTTACCATAAAAAATGTTTCCCCAAGTTTTCTCATTAGCAGTTTTAGTGTAGATTGAGGAGATTAGAAATCCAAAATAATCAGTGATTTCTATTAGCCCTAGATCATAATATCTTTTTCTCTTTGTATTTGAGAGGCCTGGAAAAATGGTATTAAGCATCTTTGACTGGAGTTTATATCTGCAGATTGATAGTTAAAATTCAAGGTTTCTATCTCTTAAGGGAATAGAGCAGATGGCAGACTCGGCCCTCTACCTGGTGCACAGGTGTTTGTAATACGTGACACTGAAAAGTGATCAGTGAAAAGGCTATTTCAATATACACCCTGAAGAGCCATTTAGGAACTAATGGGTCCTTAGTAATTTGCTTCTCTGGATGTTTAATATACCTGTCTGACCTATCACTAAACTCTTGATGGTTTTAAAAATTGCCTCTCATGTATCGTGTTAAGATGAACTAATAACAGAGACCTAAGGGTGACAACAAAACACAACTCTGATACATCTTAAGGGTTATCCTCTGTGGGGGTAGATAGATCAGTCTTCCTCAAGTTAAAAAGAAAAGGGATTATCTACTTCTGACCTGCTACAGGATAAGGAGTAAGGTTCTGTGCTTTGCGCTCTCTGGGCTAGAGTAAAATAAATGCTCTCCAAGAAAATTTTACAACAATCTCTTTGGTAAAAATTAAAAGACGTTTTAAAGCCTCGGTGTTGAGTGTTTTCCATGGGGGCAGAGAAGGTGGTGGGCCTTATTACCAGGAAGGGAAGATCTGGACTGGATACTGCATTTGCCAGCCCGTCGCTCAGGCAGCGGGGTCCGCGTACAAGCTCTTAGCCTGCACCCAGCCAGACAGAACCCAGCCCCAGCCCACGTACAGCCCCTACAGTACCAGCGCCGGCGCCCGCCGCAACGCCTTTTGCTCTTCTTCCTCTTCCTCTTCCTCTTCCTCATCCTCTTCCTCCAAGGCCGCCACCACCTTCGCTAGAGACTCTAATAGGTCCTCGCGTTCATACTGGGCGACCCGCGCTCCGATGTTGGGATTTACTGGGATTTGGCGACTGTAGACTGCCAGCTTCGCCGCTTGGTGCGAGGGATCCATCACCACGCCGCCGAGGCCTGAGCGCCAGCGCCGGCCCGGGGCGGGGAAGCCGGTGTGGCTTCAGGTTACCCAGCTGCGCCCTGCTTGGGGAGGGCGGTTACTAGGGGCGCAGTAACTAGGGACGCTACAGGGACCGAGAGGGGCCAAAAGTCACTCAAATCTTCTCAAGCTACAGATCCAAGGTGGGTGCCTCCTGTATAGTGGGTCAGTGCTGAGTCTCTGCTGGTTTAGAGGGTTGATGGGCGGAAAAAGGCGCCTCTTCCCCAGCTACGTGCCTCACTGCCTATTCTTAGACTTCTCACCTTATATCAATGAAACAATTTGTTTGTGAGTGTCGGGGCGGGGGGTGGAAAGAGCACATTAAAAATATTTTATGTATTTATTTTTTAGAGCGAGGGGAAAGGAAGAGGAGAGGAGAGAAAAATTGATCGGTTACCTCTCCTAACCAGGGACCCGGCCTGCAACCCAGGCATGTGTCCTGACCAGGAACCAAACTAGCCACCCTTCAGTCCCACAGTCCTGCGCTGTCTACTGAGCCACACCAGCCAGAGCAGAGAGCATTTTCATTCATTCAAATAACGTTACCAATAGGAGACTGCGGTGGCAGAGGAAAGCAAGAAATGTTATCGTGTGGCAGCCTCTACCAGGGTGACAGAGTTTGCATCCTGCTACCTAACACCGGCCCCTCCCCTCCCCAGCCAAAGGGAAGGAGCGTGGCACATTCTACTCTGACTCGACAGCTAGCAGAAACACACGGATCTGAAGGAGGATAAGTGTGCGATCTTGGTCTGCCCCATTAAAGTGGGTAGAGCCTGCCCACTCACCACTGACAGTTCAGGTGTATGAACCTGTCGTTTGCAGGTTGGGTCTGTCAACTTCATAGGGGTGGCGTTGGAAGTTGCAAGCACCCAACAGTAACCACAGGGGTCTCAACCCCACAGGACTCCACAGCCCAGGGCTCCAGTGCCAAGAAGTGAAGCGCCCATAACTTCTAACTATAAAAAAGGGCAGGGGAGTGTGGCTAAGAGAGCCTCTGGTGCCTCAAGCAGGTCCTCTTAAAGGGCCCAGGCACAAACTTATTCAGACACAGTCTCTGGAGTCCAGCACTGGGCAACAGTTTGAAAGGCACCAACCAGAGACATGGAGAGGACCCGAATTGTCTGGTAACCAGGTGTGAGCTGGGGATTGGACAGCCTTCTCCCAGACAGAAATAATGGCAGAAGTTCAGTTTTTTTGATAAGCCTTGCCTCCCACAGAACTGGAAACTGGTGTTGGATCTGAGGCTCCATCAACCCAGCTCACTCTGTTCACCCCACCCCACTTGTGTTCAGTGGGATTTTCCAAATGAGTATCAGTTGCAGCTCATGCTTTAGAATTTCTTAAAATCTAACAAGCAGCATCTGGACTCAGTGTGTCTCATACCACTTGCCAAGTGGCCCCAGGCCCAGCACTAGCAACAGCCGGCCTTGGTTCACAGCTTAGCCTTGCCTGGGCACCCTCAAGGCCAGCAGTATCAGCCATCTGTAGATTGCTTTGTAGCTCATACCGGGTGGCCTCAGGCAGAACACAGGTGGTGGCTGACCTTGGCCTGTACCTCCAGGGAGGCCCCCAATGCACAGCTTCAGACCACATACTTCAAAGAACCCCAGTCCAACCACCTCAAGCAACACTCAAGGGGTAGACTCAGCAGGCACCAAATCCCAAGTTCTGCTCTGTGGGGTGGGCCCCTGCACAGCTGATCCTCCTTGGTAGTCAGAGGTTCAGAGGTTGGTGGTCACAGTGGCTCAGGGTAAATTCTTGCCATCAACGTGCCAATAGCAATCAAGGCTCCACTGCAAGGTGTAAACAGCCCACATGGCAGGGGATGGGGGGTGGGGGTGGGGAGTGAGGCTGGAGTGTCCAGCATGGGTGACTGGGGCAGCTATGCCACTGGACCCTGTGTAAGATCTAGTACATACCACTCTACCAAGCTGATACAGCAGCTCTACCTAATACACAGAAACAAAGGAGGTTGCCAAACAAGAGAAACATATCCCACATTAAAGAACAAAACTCCAGAACTAAAAAAATGGAGATAAGAAATCTACTAGGTTCAGAGTTCAATACACTGGTTATAGTGATGTTCAATGAACTTAATGAGAACTTCAGCATAAAAGGATCAGCCAGAAATGAATACATCAACTAAAATGAATTTGCAGGGAATCAACAATATAGTGGGTAAAGTTGAGAATCAAATTAGCAATTTAGACTATAAGGAAGCAAAAAAAAAAAATCCCCAAAAAACCCACCCCAGTCAGAACCACA